TGTGTGTGTGTGTGTGTGTGTGTGTGTGTGTGTGTGTGTGTGTGTGTCTGTGTGGTGGTGAGGGGTTGGGGTCATTTTCCTGTCGGTTGGCGGCGAAGGAGTGTGGAGCAATGTGAAAATTATAACCTGTGGCGGAAGAGAAATCAAGTGCGAGGACTGATTAACGGCCAGCTGTTAGAGGGGGGCTGGGAGGGGCGGCTCTTTAATTGTGGAAATATGAAGAGCGAGAGCGAAACGATTCAAATGGAGGTGGCAGTCACGCAAAAATGTACCCTTTCTTTAAAAATGTATTACTTCTTACAGGAGACACCAGGTCGACAGTATGTCCAACTATTATATTACATGAATAAACCTAGAAAGCAGCTCATTTAATGTCATATTAAATTCAATACATTTATCTAATACAGTATTTCAAGAAAGCAAAACTTAACTCACATCAGAGTTTATTAAAAAAGGCATTTTAATTTGGAGGGCCGCCTTCAATCAAATAAGAAACTGGTCTATTCGTGCCTTATCTAACCATGCAGATCATTAGAGGATTTCCTTTGGCCAGGTTTTTTGAGATTTTTGAGATTTCCTCCCAAATACAACTGAGGTGAATTGAATTTTGGCTTTGGTGAAACTGAAAGCGTGGATAATCCATCCACCACGCTTTGTACAAGCTATCATCATCACATCAAGTGTCTTTGTTCGATTTTGGGCTACCACAAAATGTGCCTCGGCACAGACTGAACTCTACTGGAGGAACCAAAATATACAGGCCAAAATAAATTCCCTCTTTTGGTGTTTAGATGATGATGGTGGTGGTGAGGAGCACCGTGTCAAGGGCAATCCATGTGGGTAGTGTTTTCTTGAAGAGTTTTTGTCACTCGTTTCTCTAAATCTACTGTCTGCAGCATTTGAGTAAGGCCGACTGTTTCGCATCGGACTTTGTTCCACATTAGGCATACGCTGAATACAATCTATCAATCCATACATGGAAACAACACCGTTGGTCTTTCCATAAACTCCGGTCAGTCAGCAGAGGAAAGTTTTCCGGCCACCGTCCTCCCAGACTGCTGAGGTTTTTCAGTGAGAGTGAGCTCTGGTGGCCGTGAAGGCTTTAGCATTTTACTCACATCATTGTTGTTCACTGTTCCCTCTCGTATGGAACCCGTTTTATGTTCAGGGTTGTCCCTTTAATTTGTCACATGTCCGTGTTTCTCTGTTTACAGCGAGGCGGTACAGACATGTTGCTGTTGAATCTTTTAAATGCAATTCAATGCTGTGAGCACCGCAAAAACAAAAAACGCCTTTCACCTCAGTTCCACCGAGACGGAGGCAGAAAACCCAGAGATGGATCTACCTGCATGGCTACACACGACCAGAGGTATAAGCGCTTTTTTGTTGTTTGTAATTTGGGTGATTTGGGTTTAAACAAAACGGACAAATGATTCTCTGCAGATCTAAGAACATATTAAAATCACATCAAGAGAACCACACCGATTGTTACCGCGGCCCTCTGGGCGACGGCTGGCTCTCTCTAATAATCTGAATATACCTGGGACCCCCACCCCCCCAATTACAAATTTAATATTCACCCCACTACCACCTGGAGTGCACTTATCAAACTTTCAGCAGGATGAGGATTTTAGAGAAGGCTGACCTACATTCAGACAGCTCTGAATGGATGAAGAGGTGAGGGGGAGGCAGGGAGAAAGAGAGCGAGAGAGAAAGGGCGGGTTCAAAAGAAAGGCAGCGTGAGGGAAGCGGGCTATCTGGAGTCAGCTGAATGCACCGAGAAGGACTGGTTCGACACTCGGCTGTATAGCTGCCTCCAGTAAAAGTTCCAGTTTGCTCTTCCCCTGTGCAGTTACTGTAGCAGAAATATATACGCATAATGATTGTATAACGTGGCATGTTTGATCCGCAGCCACGGGGCAAAACTGTTAAAGGCTTGTTTTGTTGAAATAAAACATAATCATTGAGAGACATGGAGACAGCATGAGTCTATTTGTGCTTTTATCAGACAGAATGGCTGTGGAGGTTATGGGACATTCTGAATCTTTCTGTGTGTGTGTGTGTGTGTGTGTGTCTGAGCTCCTCTGCTTCAATACTTGTGACAGACCATAGACGTTAAGAGGCTCATCCTCACAGTTTAAAGAGCAAAGTGTAGGTTTACACACTTCAGATATATTCAGATTTAGGATTTTTTTACCTTTCTTTTTGGTTATGTACCGTTAGCAACTTAAGACACAAGTCCCATTAATAGTCAGTGTCTGGGAGGACTGTGCTGTTAAGTCTGCATTCCACTCGGATATTGGACACCAGCTAGCTTAGCTTGCTTGTGTCACCTCTGTCACTGCAGAATAAATATGACTTAAATGCTTTTTGGTCATTACCAGTTGGACCAAGTGTGTATTCTGCATAGACCGGTCTCTTAGCAAACATTTATTAACTTCAGTCCAACTTTGAGTTGTAGACATTATAAGCTATAACTGTAGTATCACTATGATTACCCAGAGTAATTTGGAAAATGTGAGTTATTTCTACTATACAAAGGAGTTAAAAAGCTCAGAGACCTGGTACACTCATATTTACCTTCTCTTCTAGTGCCAGCTCAAGCTACTTTAGCAGCGTTCCCTGCAGTCAGTAAAGAAACTCACTGAAATCTCATATCGCTGAATACAGAAGCAACAACATGAATCATCCAGTAGCAGCTCTTTCTGTTGAATTTTGCCGTAGAAGAGGTGATTTGGATGTTTTGCTTTCTAGGACGGAACCCTATTGGATCCACCGTCACCTCACAGATTTATTATTGATTATGACTTCAAGGGTTTTCTGTAATGTACCTCTACTTATTAGATATTTAGATAAAGTTGTTTATGATATCAGTTGGAGCACATGTATCATTTTTGCCATACATCTATTTGAAATATACTTCATACTTCTGTATATCATTAACATATACAAGCAAAAGACTGTGTGTAAAATTGAAATATCCATATATGGTTTGAGACATAGTGGCTCTTGTAATTGAATGTGAAGTATTTTGATTGGCTGCAGCTCCAGTTGCTGTTGGTTTAAAGTTTTGGATTAGCTGAAGGTGTCTTGATTTATCCAGTGTGTACAGAATTACCAGGTACTGTGTCTACGTGTGTGTGTGTGTGTGTGTGTTTGTAGGTCCCGCTACTGTATTTATGTTGTTTGGTTTGTCATCGAGCAGAAGAAACAGCCTATTGAGTTGTGAAGAAGAAGCGGGGGGTCAAGAAACACTACACTCCATTGAAGACATCACATCTCACACGTTTTTTTAACAACACCCGCACTCGCACACACACACACACACACACAGAGGAGTGTATTTCCTGGAAGCAAGTACATGTTGTCCTCCTACTGTATTCAATGCGGCTTCCCATCTTAAGTGGGATGCAGAGGGCAAGGTGTTGCTTTGAAGCCTCTGCAACAACACAAACATCCAATCGATAGCTGTCACTTAAAAGCGGCTCAAAGTGACTGACTGCATACGTGGCCGCTGATAATGGTGTGCAGCTGCACACTAATGTGTGCATGCACACAGTGACTCGAGCCCACACACACACACACACACACACACACACACACACATGGGGTTATGTACAGACACACAGACTGTCTCTCTGAGAGGAATAAAGAGGACATGAGCTGCCATATCATATTTCCTGGTCTGGCTTTAACAGGGAGCCTGTCAAGATAAAAGGACCATCTTCAATCAGTTACTA